ATTTTTGTTTAGGGATATGATAATACATTATAGATATTACATTATAGTGTTCAGTGAACATAATTGATAAATCATAATCTTAATATTTGTTGTGTGTTAATAATTTTAACTTGAATTATTGCTGATAATAACTGAGAAGAACATTATTTCAATTTAATTCATTTTTATCAACTGACAGTAAATTATTAAAAATGTATACCATGTTAATTTTTATTGTTAATATTTATTAGGTATTCATATAAAATTAATAAATACAATCAAAATAAAATACGATAAAGTGTTAGCCATTAATCAAGTGCAAATAAACAATGTATGTTCAGTTGACAATTGGTAAATATAATAATAAAATATATTAAAATGTTATGTAAATATGTTTAGTTAAATATGTAGTAAAAAGTTTGGTTATAAGTATACCTTTAAATTGTATGCATACTTATATATTATTATAGTATTATGTATACAAACAAAATGTACTTTATATTAAATATGTTTTGCTATCTTTATTTATTATTAGATCACAATTTAAAAAATTGCTGAAATATGAATGTCTATCCTACACAATTGTGAATAGAATAACTCATTTGATTTTATAAAAATTTAGATTTACATTTTTTGTGTTAAGATAGAAAATATTATCGACTCCTAAAGTAACAAACCCGTCCTTTACACCCCACAACGACTCCGTGAACTGTGAAATTCCCAATTTCCTTTTAAACTTTCCCAGAGTAGACGCCTCTTCGGTTTACATTTTTGGATTACAATATTATTAGGTATTGTGTATTCTAAAATATGGGTCAATAACTTTTGAACTATCATCAAATATTATAATTATTTACTTATACAATATTGTGAGGTAAAAGGAAATTCTAATTACTGTTGACCTTAAGCTCTAAATTATTGTCGTTTCACCATTGTTTTTGAGGTTTCTATGAGGGACCTATTACTTGCTCTTTTCTCTCTACCTTTGTTCTGCTTTCCCTCGTAATAATGTCATGAAAAATATTTACACTCCAGTATAAAACAAGTAAGCCATTGGTATACTGCCACCGATGGCGACGGTTACGGTACATAATATATACTTATAAGTGGCCTCACTACTGCTATTGCTACACTCGGAGGAACAAAAACGTTTGTTTGTTTGTTTTCTCAACAAGCAGTACGTGACTGGATCTCGAAGTGATGAAAAATACAATTTTGCCCCAACGGAAAAACTGTAGTGACCGCAAAACTCCATGTTTATAATAAACATGTAGTATGCAATTTATTGAATATTTCATATTTTCTAGTGTATAGGTTCGTATTTTTTACTCGATGACTCTACTCTCTACATTAAGTAAAAAAAAATGGTAAAAAAATATATCAGAATACTGGTCGTTGGACTATTATTTCGATTTGCTCTCCCACTTGTTTTCGAAACATATAAAAGCAATGAGCATAAATCACGGCATATTAAAAAGCAATAAACAATTATATACGTGTGAGAAAAATTGAAATCCGCTTATATTATTACAAAGAGGGGACCGCCACAAATTTTACTTGACTGTGTTTCTACGAGTTGTCAGTGTATGAATAAACGGATTTAACTAAACTGGTGAATAAAATAAAAAAGTGTATGTACGTACTCAGAATAATGAGTAAACGTTTTAAAAAATGTAATTTTCAATGAGCGAAATATGAAAAAATGATATTTTTTTTTAAATACCTCAAATAATTTAAGTATGAATTATATGAAGCTGTGATTATTTTATTGCATAATACATTTGCTCAAAACATAAACAATGTTTTCTGAAGTATATTTTTTGGTTTTCAATCATAAATACAAATAGAAAAGCCAGAAAACTCAAGACATACATTTTTTGCTCAAATAATTTGTTTTCATTGTTTTAAAATAATCTTTCCAAAAAATAATCAATCAAAAAGAGAAATAATAAATTATTTACTTCTGATTATATCAAGCAATTATAATTTGCTTAAAACCTTACATCGTGTCATAAGACAGTCATATTATAAGCTTTATTATATTATATGTTAATATATTCAGATTATGCATATAATAAATATTAAAAAGAATAATTATGGTTTTTTTTTTATAGTGTTTCGTTTCTACTTGTTACATTTTTGAGGTGTTTTTTTTTTACAAAACTTTGGGTGTCAATAAACTTTTGAACAGTTAATTTTTTTTATGAAAAACTATGTATATGTATTATATATATATTTATGGTTATTTCGCTTACTGCCAGATGTTTTTAAAAGGAAAACAACAAAAGTTAAAGAAATTACTTTTCCTGGCGTTTGGACGACAGAATATAACTTATGAGATAAAAATAAAAACCATTTTACAGTTTTTTAAAGTTAACAATAATGAAATCATAATTATTTTGTTTACGTTGAAAAATTCATTGTGCTCACACTTTTTTGTGAGACATTTTTTAAAACAAAAGCGTTTACAATGTTTTTGAATAGATTTTTTCATCAAGGATATGGTGGTTACACATTGTTTATTTTTTAATTAGTTTGTTATGTATAAATGTTATTTTGATTTTATAATATTTTTTATAACTTTGGTGGTGGTTGGTAAATATCGTTAGAAGAAATACTTCCAATCGAAAATATCATTTTTGTGGTAACAAAATACAATTGTAGGATTGTACATTTAGATACCATAATTAAAAATAATTATTGTTTTTAAGTGCACACGTCATAGATAGAATGAATAACTTGCGACAAATGGTCAGTGGGATAATCAGTGGGATCAATTTTTATTTTGGTTGATATTAGGTCTACAATTCGTATCTTTATTTTTATGTATACAAACAATGTAAACAGATAGTTTCAACAGTTACATCTACTTTGATTACTAAAAATAGGTAAAAAAAGCATATTTCAGTTTTAAAAATGAATGTTCGATAAGCCTAGTGTAATAATGTACAAGACCTACAATAACAATGTTTTAATAGAATAATTAGATAGTTAGAACAAAACCAAAGTTCATAAACTAACCAATATTTTGTATGGTTTATTTTTTAATTGATCTTATTTTGTTAATTACATTTTTATAAAATAATATTTTTTTGTAGAAATATTTTCATCGGGAATTTCATTTTCGCAATATAATAACTATTTGCAAGAGATAATTTAACTGAGATTTTTTTCAAGAGGCTTAGCAGTTACTTAGTGATGGCAGCTTCTAACTATCCACATTGAAGTTGACTTGTCTTTTTGATAATCTAACATTGTTATTTTGTTTTAATATTTATAATTATTTTTCAAACATGTTTAATAGTGTAGATAAATTATTATAGTTACGAATTCGAATGAATAATCAAAATCAATAAATATGTTTTTAGGTACCTTTTTAGTAAACCTAACCTAAAGTATTATAACAGATAATAAGTAATTTATGTATAGTTTGCACTGCGAATAAAATATTAAAATCTACCATTGAACAATTAATGTTCATCAATAGTTCATGTACCTATCGAAATATTCACATTACATGCTATACTTTTAATCGAACTCATTTATAATTTAGAGTTTACGGTTTTCTACGGATATTAAAAATACATGGCGTATTGGTACTCAGAATCCACGTATTATGGGTATTTAAAAATTAAAATTACGTGTATGCAAATACGCCGTTGTTAATTTTGTTCTTTAAAACCCGAACGCGTGGGTATAAAATATATATTATCGCATATTTATTTACACAGATCGTATTCGTATAGCTTATACACGTAGGCTATAAGAGTGCAAATAGTAAGTCATTAAAGACTGTTTATAATATTCACTTTGGGACCAGCAGAAGGCGAGTCTTATAACCGAATAATCCTTATAGGTAGATTGAAGAAAAAATATATGTTACTCATGGCGTTTATTTAGGATTTTCAGTTTTACATATTATTATTTAACATTTTGAAGTGAAACTTTTTGTTGAAACGCTGAAAAATGTGTACCAAAATTATGCTCATGGATAATTTAAAGCGGTACCAAACAATTAATATAAAAAACAAATATTTTTCTCAAAATGGTCACTGCACCTATCTAATTATCGTTTGTGTTGATCCAATACCCCGTAAATAATGATTGTAATTCAACTCATAGACCTAATAAGACCCTATAAGTAGTATAACTGTATATTAAATAAGAAAATATTACATTACGTTTATGTTTTAAAAAAAACGGTATTAATAATACATATTTAGGTACATGTATATTATTACTATAAATTATTAATAGTGTTTTTTACTATTAATTGATATTTAATAATTAGTATGGAATTGTGAGACGGAGCTTCGTTTTAATATATACTGTAAGTTAATTCTATTTATATAAATAATATATATATATATACGTATATAATAACATATATGTATAATAATAATATATAAGTATTTATATACTCAGGTATATTATTACTATTATTATGTATTTAGATATTCAATAACTATGTCATAAATAATAATCATGTATGTGTACAATAATATTTATAAATATCAAAATGAGTGCACGTTGTTCATACATCAGTTATTTTACTATTTCAACTATCATCAAATTATAATTATAATTAGAAAATCAACCAGAACGAATAAAATAGGTTAAATAAATTTAAAAAAATCGAACTTATAAATTATTTTTTGTAATGAACTATTGAGCCTCCTTGCTGTGAGATTGCTCACTTTCAAAAAATCCGATATGTCACCGAAAACATGGTGAATCGTATGTTAAACATATATTTGTGTTAACAGACACATTAATATAATTTATGATTTTTGTTGTATTTTTGTTAACACGATGTAATATATTCGCATAAATGTATTTATATCACGATTTTATTGATACTTGATATGATATTCTTCACAAGTGAATTTTTTTCATTTTGATTGATCATATTATACCCGTCATCATAGACAATATTGTATATTAAAACGGGTCTATAGTCATGACTCGTGATAACTATATTTTACGGGACAATGGAAAATGATTTTATTATTTATTTACAGGGTCGATTAATGGACAAGGCTGACGCGTACTTCAGCTCGTTCCGAAGGTGCAACTACCCCAGACTCATGTCAGACGGAACGGTGGCGCTCGTAAACGAGTGCGGCCGATACGCCAAGTGAGTAACGATTGAAATTTAATTTTTTTTATCTCTTTACAAACTATGCTCCGAGTAAAATATATTGTCAGAACGAAATGCAATGTACTCTCAAGTGTTGGTACGCACAATGAACAACATGTCTCATACATGACAACATCTGTGGCATTTGTGCGCGTCGTACAACAATAATAGTTTAACATAATAGACGAATGTGCGTTTCTTGGAACAGGGTAGATGTAGGTACTGCAGAATTTGCATTTCAAAGTTTCAACCGTCGCCCTGATAGACTTTCTGGCGACGGCTAAATTTCATTAGTCATAATATTATCCACCCTTAGGTCCTGACGCCGTCGCTTTACCGTGAGAGATCATTTCTGCACCGTGGTCTCTAAATTATTACACTTTGCCATTTTAGTCCAGATGGGATCAGCGATATACCCATCTATATACAGCCATTTAGGTACAACTCGTGTATCGGCGTAGGTGTGTTCATTATTAGGACACATTAATCAACTTTGGTTGATATACTCGTAAATTGAACTAAAATTAAGGCATCGCCACCAGTCGAAAGTGGAACATAAAATTTCACGTCATAAAGTTTGTTTATTATGTTTTTTCCATATTATGCACTTAATTCTTTAAACAAATTATAATATAAATTTAAATACTTACTATAATTTTGATTTTTCGGAATACTAATACGGTTTATCAAAATGAAATGCAATCACATAATATAAATGTGCAATTTAAAACGGAGCAAGAAAGATTTATGAATGGCGTTTCAATGATTTATGGCGTATTCTATTTTTTTTTTTTTTTTAGTAATTTTTCCTATAATTTTAAACCTGCAACTATTTCGCACTATTTATTAACGTGTAAGTATACTTTGAAAATTGCTAACGGTTTTATAGGAAAATTAGAGCACTGCCTGATTTAATCACATTATAGTTAAAATAATAATATTACAATACTAAATGTCCAAATTTAAATTGGTGTGTTGAATACTAAATGATTTTCTAAATAAAAAATGAATGTGGGTACCTATTTAATAATAATTATTACTACCGTGGAAAATTGTGGTATGTTCAAAACAGCGGTTGTACTGTAGACACACGTGTTTAAGACCTGACACTGTATGATTAGACATGTTAAATAATAATTAAAATTATATAAAATATTTGAACGTTGTATACAAACGTTGTAATATCAGTATTTATGATACATAATAATTAATTTCGCAGGAGGTACAAACATTGAAATTTAAAACCTAAGCGATAAAAATTAAGTAATGCATTTTAAATGTTTGTAACCTGATGATTGTAAACTAGTATTTTAATAATAATAAAATAAATACTCTTGTGTATTATATTACATAGTTTATGATTCTTAAAGCATGCTTATTACTTTTAGTTAAATAACTAGGGACACATATTTTGGAAATGAATTGAAAAATATTATTTTATTCCTTGAATCAATATTTCAAGTATTATCATCAATCATTTTGTTTCATATAACTATCATGGTATTACATAATTATATGTATTTTTAATTTCGAAACTTGTGCTGTATGTGGCTCAGTAAACATGTTTTATCAACTTAAGAATGTATTTATTAATATAAAGTTTTACAAATAGTTTGATAATTTTTGAATAAATTGCATGTAATTATAGTTTTTAGTGATATGTTGAACAATTTTGTTCAAAATTAGTATCATGTTCTTGCATAGTTTAATAAATTATAATAAATAGAAAGTTTTGAATTTTACTACATTCTTGAAAGGATAAATAAAATAACTTTGTAGTTGTAAAAGTTCTTTGAATATGTTTAAAAATTCTAAATCATAATTTTTCGAATTTTTTCTTAGATTTCATTAATATTGTGATTCATTACATAAATACTGATGAAAAAAATCCTTATATTTAATAACAATAAAAAAAAACTTCCCATGAACAGCATTTAAATAATATTCATCCTGAGTAACCCAAACGGTTCCATTCAGACAACTCGATAAGGTAAACTGACTTATTATTTGCTCATTGTGAGTATTGGTTAAATGACACATGTATATTTTTCCAGAAAATCGGTGTGGAAAAGTTTTATAAATATATAAAAAAAAATATTATATCACAATACTTATGCGAAAATCATAATGTGTAAATTACAAAATTCAGCAAACATTGCTTCACGTCCCGATAAATTGTCTTGCTCACGCGCAGTTATTAAATCACTCAAAAGGGGTGAACAGAAATGTCTCGTATTTACTCGAAGTGTCTACTGTACACTCAATCCAAGCACTTGACATACTTCCTATTAGTTATTATACATGGTGTGTTTTTGTTGGATTTTAAATTTTAGAGAAATAATGAAACAGAAGTGAAAATAAAAATAATACGAAGAAATAATTTAAAAGAAACCACTTTTAGATGACTATTTTCCGACTAAAATGTTATGATTGTACGATAATATTTTATAGTAAACAAAATATTTAATTCTATTTATTTTTCTTTATTTTATTTTTTTTTTATTTAAAAATACACCTCAACTACCAGGGTTATTGGCGTTTCAGAAATACATATTATTACAATTTAATTAAAATTATTATTTTTTTTTTTACAAAACAAAAGGGTGTACATAAGATAATAAATGAGGTAGGTACAAACAGTTTTAGAATAATGTAATTATATGTGATAAATTAAGTGTTCATGTCATATTTTTTGAAGGAGGTTCGTCTCTTTGAGAAGTTAAAGAAGTGACGATGTTCTCTCTGTGTGTGGTGATAGTATTTCACAAAGATTTAAGGGAGCATCAGTTTTTCTCTGGAATCTTTTGTTAGGAGGCATTCGGTTAACATATAATACTATTATTTTCATGCGAAATGGGTCATTTAATTTTATTGTCGGCATTCCTGCATAATTGAACGTCAATTGATATTATCGGAGTTATTACATTGTTACTTCAAATAATACTGTGAATATTATAAGAGGACGTGATACCTGCATGTGTTGTCTCTGTCTTACAAGTGCGTAACATAGCAAATTTTACGCTCAGCAGAACACGTGTAGCTCCGTTAGCTTAAACATTAGTGCGAATTGACCTCTTATAAAATCTAAAGGTAAGATAATTATCTAGTCAACCTCATAGGTTTTTTATTATATTTTAATTTTAACGCGAGTTATGAGTATTTTAAAATTTTAAATTGTTTATACATCTTAAAATACTTATAACTTGCGTTAAAATAAAAATATAATAAAAAGCCTATGAGGTTGCCTAGATAATTCTTTAGATTTTATAAGAGGTCAATTCACTTTAATTTTTATATTAACGGAGCTACAAGTGTTCTGCTGAGTGTACAATTTGCTATGTTACGCACTTGTAAGACGGAGACAACACGTCATGCGGGTATCACGTCCTCTTAATTTTATTCATAATCAATCATAAGCATATTATACTCATTAATATGATCAAACTAGTACTAAAATTCATAAATTAAATTAAATCTTGTACAGTTGTACGACTATATAATATATTCCAATAAATAATTATAATATACTATTTAATATATTTTTAGAAAAATATTGAATATTATAAGTAAGTTATATTCCTAAGTTAATTTAATAAATTAAAATTGAACCACTAAAACATTTTTTTATTTCGTTAGAACCACTGAACCAGTATATATTATAATAGACAGTAAAAAGTTAAAAATATTCTAAAGCTATTTGTATTTTGTACACTATAAAGTTTAAATTACATCTAAATTTATTCACTTTGAAATGATTATAATATACAAAGAACTTTTCAAAGAAAAAATTAATATTTTTTTGTTATTACATTTTCATTTGAATTTAAGTATTTATTGGTTATAACTTATAAATGAAATCTTAAAATTTAATCAAATAATAGATCATTTTTTTTTTGTTATAAAAATGTGGTATGGCCAGTTTAAGAATGACACACAATAAAACCTACTTGACTTCGTACGCTTTAAGTTAATGACTATCTGTAGAATAAATTTTGAGGCTTTAAATTAAATTATTATACATTTTTATAAATTCAACACTATTAGCTTTGTTGAGGTAAGACGGTAAGCACACATGGATTTTACGTCCTTTCCTTCATATTGGAATGACTTCTTTTGCCTAAGATACTGGAGAGCCGTTAAATGTAAGGAAACCTCCTCGAATTCAGGCCACATATTATGTCCCTGCACTTTTCTTATTAAAAGGTAGGAACACAGGAGTCTTTGAATAATATTTAAATTTGTTTTTTAGAGGTTGGAAACACTTTTATTAATGTGTAAAATAAACATAAAATTATCACTAATTCAATCAGAGGCGCGACCGTCGTACTTAAGTTTTCGCCAAATCAATCAGTCACAACGAGACTGGCCTGTCTGCTCACGTGGCGATATTATAAAGGAAATATTATTGTCGCCTCAGTATTATAATATTCCCACCTATTTAGCATACACATTATACTGACGATTGTCTATAATATACGACACAAGTTAATTTTGCTCTCAAAAAAAACCAATAAATACTAAAGTAGCCAAACTACGATTTTTTGAAACTTTAAAATATGTTTCCTGAACAATGGAAATAATGTGAAATATTATAACTTTATCATTTATATATCACACATTTTTATCAATGTTACGTACATTAATATAATATTTACCTCTTAAATATATTTGAATATCGTATTTGTTAAACATAAAAATGTTAGCACAATTGTTATATGATCACCATTTTTATGCAACAGAACCCCAGAATTATATTAGTTTTTCTTCATAAAAATATATATGTACATTTTAAATGTTATATATGATTTAGGTATTGTTCTCAACATTTTTATTCATACAAAGCTTGTGTATAGTTATGTTACTGTTTCTACTAAACTCGTTAAATAATATAATTAACTATAGAATAGATAAGAACAATGTAATTCAGTAAAATTCGTTTTGAACAAAATCCGTTTTTGCTGTTTTGTAGTCATCCTGCAGTAATCAAAAATATTATA